ATTGTAGAGATGAGGTCTCGCCAAGTTGCCCAGGCGGGTCTCGAACCCGCAGGCTCAGGCAATCCATTCACCTCAACCTCCCAAAGGCGCGGGATTACGGGGCTGAGCCACCAAGCCCAGCTATATGTTGATTTTCAAAAACTTGGCACGTGGGAATCAGAACTATGACTTTTAACTCAAGGGACTTGGTATGGGGGGAGGGGAATCACCGATTCTTAGCCACTCGAAATATTACCCATGTGCTAGATTGATTCTGTCACTCGCTGATGACCTCTTGAAGTTCTTCCAAAATAGCAAGAGTCAGGCCGGTGAGGGAGCCTGGTGGTCTGTGGACACCTTTGCCAAGCACTGAAGTCATGTCTCCCTACCTCCTACTTCCCCTACAGATAACGAGCTACACAGCTCAGGGAGTCACACTCCAAGCAACACAAGCGACAGTCCTGGACCTGGAAAAAACACCACCACCTACAACGAGTTTGACACCATCATCTTGCCTGTGCTTTACCTCGTTATTTTTGTGGCCAGCATGTTGCTGAATGGTCTAGCTGTGTGGATCTTCTTCCACATCAGGAATAAAACCAGCTTCATATTCTATCTCAAAAACATAGTGGTTGCAGACCTCATCATGACACTGACATTTCCATTTAGAATAGTTCATGATGCAGGACTTGGACCTTGGTACTTCAAGTTTATCCTCTGCAGATACACATCGGTTTTGTTTTATGCAAACATGTATACGTCCATCGTGTTTCTCGGGCTGATAAGTATCGATCGCTATCTGAAGGTGGTAAAACCATTTGGGGACTCTCGCATGTACAGCATAACCTTCACCAAGGTTTTATCTGTTTGTGTCTGGGTGATCATGGCTGTTCTGTCTTTGCCAAACATCATCCTAACGAATGGTCAGCCGACTAAGGAGAATATTCACGACTGTGTGAATCTGAAGAGTCCATTGGGAGTCAGATGGCATGAGGCAGTCACCTATGTCAACAGCTGCGTGTTTGTGGCCGTGCTGGTGATTCTGATCGGATGTTACATAGCCATTTCCAGGTACATCCACAAATCCAGCAGGCAATTCATAAGTCAGTCAAGCCGAAAGCGGAAACATAACCAGAGCATCAGGGTGGTCGTGGCTGTGTTTTTTACCTGCTTTCTGCCCTATCACCTGTGCAGGATTCCTTTTACGTTTAGTCACTTAGACAGGCTTTTAGATGAATCTGCACACAAAATCTTGCATTACTGCAAGGAAATGACACTTTTCTTGTCTGCATGCAATGTGTGCCTGGATCCTATAATTTACTTTTTCATGTGCAGATCATTTTCAAGAAGGTTATTCAAAAAATCAAATATCAGAACCAGGAGCGAAAGCATCAGATCACTGCAAAGTGTCCGAAGGTCAGAAGTCCGCATATATTATGATTATACTGATGTGTAGGCCTTCAATTGCTTGTTGGAATCAGTATGTACAAAGTGTAAATAAATGTTTCTTTTCGTTATCCTTGCTTGAGCCCAAGAAGGTATGAATTAACAAAACAACTAAAGTGATATGAAATTGGAGCATAATTATTTGTAACTAAGGGAAACACTAAGGCATGATGGGAATTTTGAGGTCCAGAGTTAGAGGGGCAGAAAGAGCCATGGCAGTGTCACTGCACTGCAGCCATGCCCTGGGAATGGCTGCTCTGAAGACATTTTTGCAAAAAAAAAAAAACAGAAAAGACAGGGAGGATAATTCTATCTAACCTGGAAGCACAAGATTTGAGAAAGACTGCTCCTTTCAACAAAGCTCATTTACTGCAGGTATAACTAACTAAATATTGATTATTAGGGCTTCCATTTTTCCATCTGTGAACTAGGGCATTTGGCCATTATCCCCCCTTCACTGTGTGTGTTTCTTTTTAACTTTTTTTTTTCCTTTGCTCATTACTATACTAATAAGTATGTGTGTATGTGATGTTTAAGGGCTCCAGTTCTGATGAGATCGTGTGCGTTCAGGGTGGTATGGCCATACACCAAGGGCTTGAGTTCTAAGACCCTCTATATCCAGGTCAGAGCACACCCTAGGCTCCAAAAGTGAAGAGGCATGGGCTGGGGGAACTCCTTCTGCCTCCTCTCTCTACTCCAAGCTTCACCGTGGCTCCTGTGATGCTTAGTTTCATTCCTTGGGGTAAAAGACTGTCATCCAGCAATACAAATGCTTTCTCGGGAAAGCCTTAACAGAGGAGGAGTGAAAGCTTGTTTGCCGAGTAACAGAGGACATCATGGCTAACAGACAAAACACACACACACAGACACACACACACACACACACAGACACACACACACACACACACACACACACACACACATACGACGTGGTACAATACTTAATTTAGTCTTGTAAACCTTCTGCAAAATTGCTCATGTGAGCAAAAATGAGGGGCACAAGAATAACTGAGCACAACACTGACTACTGTTACTGTTGTCAGGTACAGGAACAGGATTCAGGACTACAAAATGCCTAGTAATAAGTCAGGTTTGGCAGAGGGGTTGGTGGCAAAAGGATTAAATGGACTATCTGAGGATTTCTATCAACATAGCCATCTCTCCATCAAGATTCCAACTCTATAAATGCAATGGACACTTGAGTCCATGAATTTTTTTTTTTAAGTCGGAGTCTCATTCTATCACCCAAGCTGGAGTGCAGTGGCACACTCACAACCACTGCAGCCACAACCTGCTGCGCTCAGGTGATCTTTCCACCTCAGTCTCCCAAGTCACTGGAATTACAGGCACATGCCACCATGCCCAGTTTACTTTTTGATTTATTGAGGAGAGGAGGTCTCACCAAGTGGTCCAGGCTGGTCTTGAACCCATAGGCTCAGGCAATCCTCTCACCTCAGCCTTCCAAAATGCTGGGATTACAGGCTTGAGCAACGATGCCAGGCTATTTTGTTTTTTTGTTTTTGAGTTGGAGTCTCACTCTGTCACCCAGGCTGGAGTGCAGTGGCATGTTCACAGCGACCACAGCCTTGAACTGCTGGGCTCAGGTAATCCATCCCCCCTCAGCTTTCTAAGTAGCTATAATTACAGGCATATGCCACCATGCCCAGTTAATTTTTTGATTTATTGTAGAGATGAGGTCTCGCCAAGTGGTCCAGGCTGGTCTTGAACCCGTAGGCTCAGGCAATCCTCTCGCCTCAGCCTTCCAAAGTGCTGGGATGATAAGCGTGAGCCACTGCGCCCAGCCAAGATAGTCCTATTTTAGATTAGCTAATGAGAAAAGGCAGTTTGAAAGGCTAATTTCTTTCTCTGCTTTCCCCAGAATGCCCGAGACAAGTTATAGTTTCCCTATAAAAAGGAGGTGCAACACTGCAGCTGGTAAAACACCTTTGGTACCACATGTCCTATCCTCTCCATCCCCAACAAGCCACAGCTCCCAGTCAAAAATCTCAAAAACGATCCTATCTGCTCCACTGCTTATACAGCTACCAAATGTATGGTTTCTGCAGAACCAAAAGCATGAGAGCCTACCCTCTTTAATAGCAAGTACTTCTCTACCCCAGACCTCATTTAATCCTCTAATCCAGTCCTCAATTCTAAAAGGTCTTTACAACATTTTAAATCCCATTTTAATTTCTAATATAGTTCAGCACATTTAATGTGATGGGGTTCTATTTCTCTGAAATGACATTAGTAAGTCAATGGGAATCTTAAAACATTGGCTTTAAAAAAAAAAGTCATATGACAAAAGGCAACAAAATCACACTGTGCATATTTTACACCAGTTCCCACACTGTGGTCATAAAAATTTTTTATCCAGGCCAGTCAAGAGTGAATCATTTACATGACTAAATAACATCAAAAGGGATAATATAAAATACAGTGCTAGTGTCAGAAGTCACAAAATGTTAACACTGAAGAAAATAATTCTATTTGGTTGTCTTTTAAAAAATTATTGGTAATTAAATAATCTCAGATTTTAAATCTAAAATTTCTTACTTAGGACTTTGGGATTACATTCAATTATTTCAGAAGCCTTTCAGGTGGCAATAAATAGCATACTTATTCTTCCCTTTATGCAGAAGAGAAACACATTCAGAGAATTTCCCAAAGGAAATTTTTCTGCTCTTCATAAAACTGACATTCAGATCTTTCATTATAGATCTTTCAATGTGTGTGTTACTGACTCTGCTATATTCATTAAACCACTTCACAAACATTTTACTCTCATTTTGAAACAGCATGTCAGTATTTTGTTTTTCAACCAAAGTTTCAGGGAAATGGTGCCTAGGAAAATGCATAAATTCAGTTTAATTATCCAAGTCAAAATTGTGTGTCTGTGTACACATGCACATGAGAATACAGCTTAAACATAAAGAAATGTTATGATCACATGGGGAAATGTGATATACTAGAAAAAAACACTTAAGAAAACAAGGATAAAATAAAGCTCAGGGACTACTTAAATCTTATAAATACAGATTTTCCCCACACTAAATACCACAAGAAGCCAATTAACAAACAATGAATACTAGCTAGGCACATTCCATATAAAAAGACATTGTGCACAGCATGATATATAAAATAACCTTTGGGCGTCCCTAATTGACTTCTAAAAGTCAATACTTAAGAACAAATATTTTCAAATTGCTACATAATACAAGTATCTGGTAGATGTAGGATTTATTATATACCTTAGCCCTCCAACACCATCTAGTGGTAAAATTCATAAAACAAGTGAAGAAAACAACTTAGGTCCTACTTAACAGCATGCCACCACATGGCAACACCACCTAGCGTGATCCAACAGTCTTTCCTTAGACATCTTTATTAATGCTAATGTAAACAAATGTATATTCTGGAGCTGACTAGTACAATACAAGATGGAAATTTTTGAGAAGAGTAATTAACTCTTTCGAGCAGTTATCTTACAGATGTAAAAAGAACAAAAACTATAAGTGCTGCAATTACACGTGAATTTCATGGGAAAATGCTACAAATACTGGCTATACTTTCCAAATTAACATATGAAAAAATTATAAACAAAGTACAATTTATCCGTGGGTTTCAAAAGTACACAAAAGTCATCATTAGAACTAAACAGAGGAGTAAGACTTGTCAGTGTTAAACAACAGTGATTTTCAACAACTTGTCAAGAAACTGAAATTCAAATGGCAGCTTTCATTTTGAATAATCTTAAATGCACCTTATAAACCGCAATGAAAAAAAATCATCTAAATTTATTTTTTAAAAATTATAATGTGATTCTCTGACCACACGCCCCTTTTTCTCTTCATTTGAAAATTCAAGATATAGAACTAAATTGGAAATTCCTTTTATTCCCAATAGTTTTGGCAAACATTCTTAATTAGTGTAAACTGGTCCATTTATCTTTGAATTATGCCGGAGAATATTCTGTGGTTGAAGTCTGGGCAGACCCCACAGTAAATCTTAGAACTGAGCCCTATGTCTGACTAAACCAGACTATGAACCAGAGCAAAGCAGACCTAAATTTTAGCCTCAGATATTAACAAACATGGTTTTCACATATGAGAAAGTGAATGGACTACTCCCATGAGCAGCACAGGGCATTTCTTAAATGTAGGGGAATGAATGCCACACACTTTGTATGATATCGAGCATCTATGGCCCCAGCCACCAAACATAGGGGCAATAACAAAAACAACAGCAACAAAATACTCTGAATCTGACAAAATGCCTCTTGGATCAGTAATGTTTACATTGAGAATGTCCATTGGATTCCTGAACCATTTCTGGACGGAAAGAAGAATACGCTCAAGTGTTCAAACAACAGAGAAACCCAGATACCAGTAAGTCCTAACTAACTTTGGGATGGGACAGAGTATTAATAGGACATAAATAGATTTTAAAAAACTTTTCACTCCCACTTCTGTGTAATCACAAATATGGTAAAAAGAAATCGATGACTTCTACAAAGTTTATACACAAGCTTTCTTAGATGTTCACTTTGATGTTTTATATGCTTTCTGCAAATGCTTTTGAATGACGACGATAGATATCCCACAGAAAGTTATCTAGTGGCAAGTTAAATGCAAATAATAAGAATAATAACGATCAAATCTTATACAGTGCTCACCAGTCACTGTCCCAAGTGCCTTACATATATAAACTTTTTAATCTCCACAGTCACTTTATATAGTAGATATCTTATTATTATGCCATTTTACAGATGAGGAAACTAAGGCATACCCGTCACATGGCTGAAAAGTAAAGTGAGATGGTAGTAGCTTATGAAGCTGGGAGTCTAAAGTCCATGCTGTTACCAGGACAGCATCACTTTCTCTCCCCACTCCACCCCACCCAAGGAGGCTTCTTCCCCTGGAATTCACTCAGTACCCCCATACAACAAGGCACCTGAACTGGAAATCTGAGTCCCCACTTTTCCTCACTTCCCATCAACAGTTCTATACTAGAGTGGGCGCGGTGGCACACACCCGTAATCCCAATAGTTTGGAAGGCCGAGGTAGGAGGATCACT